AGTCTCAGACAATCCGACGGCTGAACGCGTACAAGACTACCGTTCACGAGGTTCTCGAGATGACCACAGCGACATACGAAATCATGAACTGTAACGGATTTGATTGGTACATTTCCTTCGACTAGCCATTCTTTCTATCAATACAATTCGAATAAATTGGTTCTTCTCTGCTCTTGAAGTTTTGTTTCTTGATTGAATACCAGTATCTTATTTGGTTACAATGGCTGATGGGTAGATTTCAGTTTGATTTTCTAGCTCGCTGAGTGTCTCGGTCCGGGGCGGCTCATTCAAACGACTAAGCGAAGACGGGGGCGAGTGGGGATTCTCTCTCCACAACCCAGACAAACTCTGCGGCTGCGGAGTAGCGTTCCGTCTCTCAGCTCTCGGCGGGCGTGTTAGACTGTTCTACATGCTATGAGTTCCGGCCGAGAGCATCCGTGCAAGCGCGAATGCCCTGTTTTAGTAGCTTGGGCCTTAATCTCTTAATTGTACGGTATAAAGTTTTCCAAGGATTACGTTATGATGTGAATATGAGTTAGAAGTGTTTATTCAAGGTGGGAATAAATCGTGCCCGTCACCGTTCATGCCCGTCTATTGTTATTGCTCAATATTTTCAGTAGTCTCCTGATAGGGATTATCAGACGGTTGGTTATCGATCGGTATGTATCGGCGCGATCGCATATACCTTATGGATTTCTTAATTAAGAGGAAAGAGATACATATGCCTGTTGTCATTGTTTGAATTAATCCCACGAGCATCCATGCCCTACAGTTACTTGGAATCTTCGGGTCTGGACCCGGTTTTGGCGGTGTCGGTCTGGTTTTCTTGAATTTCGACCAAATGTCCGATCCACCCATCGTCGGTCTATCTTCTTTGATGCATGCTGAGTCCGAACTCGCCTTCTCCTCACAATCTGTCTCAACTTCGTGTTATGTTTGTGCAAATAATCTATATCCATGTTCATAACCGATACATAATATATTCTCCAATAAATCCGCCTCGGTACAAGCCGACCTCTAAGGTCCGCATGTACCATCCGGCGCGGCGAACATCAGTTGCTGTTCGCGATACTTAGGATGCGCTCTACTCTTTACGACCCGATCGACGACTATCACCAATAGTCGATGGCAAGATCACAACATGGTGTCAGAGTGAGAATCCAGTCGCCTAAATCTAGTGACCCGGTGGCCTGAACGAGAAACGGGCAGCAACTCGAAGCGGAATACTCGCTGTGTTCCAGCACGCTCGCTGTGCGCGAAGCCTAACCGACGGAGCGTGAGGCAAGATGAATCCGTCGATACGCCCCCCCGACGAATTTACAGTGCCGGAAGGAAAAAACCGGTATGCATCATGGAAAACGTGGTCGAAAAAGTTCAGATATTACGCAGACGCCATCGCGTTGAACGAGAAAACACCTCCGACGCAAGTGGCATGCCTACTAGCAGTGATGGGCGAAATCGCCGGTCGAGAATATGATCGTGCGATTGCTGATAGAGTCACACCGACAACAACTTCGACTGAGGTTTTAACAGCCCTCACAGCAGTTTTCAGACAAGAACTGAGCGTTACCCAAAGCCGGTTCGAGCTTTTCAACGTGAAGCAAAAACAAGGGCAGCTCGAGGCGTTTCTGCAACAACTCGACGACAAAGCCGAAGAGTGTGATTTCTGTGAAAAATGCAAAGAATCCGTGGTGACATCAATTTTCATAATCGGATTGGACGATAGTGAAACGAAGCAGTACCTGCTTCATAATGGGGAATCGCTCACCAAGCTCAAAGCACTGAAACTCGCACGGAACTACATGAACTCCAAGTCGATAGAATCTACGATCCGAGCCGGAAGTAGCATCAAAGCAGATTCGAGCATAGAAGTGGATGCAATCCACAGGAAGGACCGACCAAGACCACGCGAGTTACTCGGGAGGCCTGCGCCGTCAATCAAATGCAGATTCGGATGCAAGACTCACCCTCAGCAGCAGTGCCGTGCTTCGAGGGTCAAATGCTTCAAATGCAATCGAATGGGACATTTCTCAGCGGTTTGCTCATCGATACACTACCTTGATGACGAGCCGATTCCAAGTACGGAGATGCAGGAGCATCATCAGCATCAAACGAATTGTGACGAATTGCATCTATTTGCTTTGAGGCTGGCGGAATTGCGAGGCTCGTCCCCGAAAAACTCGGCATCGCAGTGGTGGCAGCGCCTGGCATTGGGAGATTCCAAAATCAAGGTAGATTTCAAGTTGGATTCGGGTGCACAGATATGCATACTACCATGGCGAATTTTCAAAACCATCCCAGACCGCCCCGTGCTCAAGCCAACGCACAAAACCATATCCTCGTACTCGTCTCACACCCTGAAGATCGCTGGCACCTGCACAGTAGCAGTCGCCATTCCAGGGGATACACGCAAAACGCCGGTGCTGTTCTTCGTGGTATACACGAGTGCTCCCGCTATCCTAGGACTGCCAGAATGCGAGCGTCTAGGACTCATACAACGCACAACGCCGAAAACCATGCGTTTGGATTCAATCCACGACGAGAAAATGGAAATGGTGCGTCGTAACCACGATCTTTTCGATGGAAAACTCAGCACGTTGCCTGGAATTCAGCGAATCGAGATCAATCAAAACGATCAACCTCCTCGACGAATATTCCCACCGAGACGTCTGCCTATCCGACATAAAGAGAAAATCCACCGGACAATCCAGGAGATGGAGAAACGAGGTGTCATCGCCAGAACCACAAGACCGACGGATTATGTACTGCCAATGGTGGTGGTCTCTAAATCAGATGGGTCATTCAGAATATGCCTAGATCCAAGGTATATTAACCCACACATCAAGCGCCGAACATTCCCGCTCCCGATAGCGCAGGAACTTCTCATGCAGCTGGCTGGCGCGCAGTACTACTCCGTAGTGGATGGTGACGCCGCTTTTTGGCACCTCAAATTGGACCAAGAATCTAGCGATCTCTGCACATTCGCGACCCCGTGGGGAAACTATCAATTCAAACGCCTACCATTCGGGATAGTCGACGCATCCGAAAGATTTTCGGAAGTCATACATGCTTTGTTCGCCGACCTGAAGGGAGTCGCAAATTGTGTTGACGATTTCCCAATCCATGGTCGAACGAGAGAGGAACATGACAAGAACCTCGAGGCTTTTCTCTCCAGATGCCGAGAGGTGGGTCTCAAACTCAACGAGAAGAAATTCCAATATTGCCAACCCAGCGTGAAATTCCTGGGACACGTAGTAGGAAAAGATGGCATAGCGATTCCCGACTCACGCATCGATGCAATCTTGAAAATGTCACCACCCAAGGACCAAAAGGAAGTCCGCCAATTCCTTGGAATGATTAACTACGTCGCCAAGTTCATTCCAAACGCTGCCAACATTACAGCTCCGCTTCGCCAGTTGACTCGGAATGACACCGATTTCACGTGGAACCCAGGAGCAGAGGACGCATTCTCCAGACTCAAACACGCATTAACGAAGGCGCCCGTACTAGCGCACTTCGATCCGACATGCGAGACAACCCTGAGTGTTGATGCCAGCTCGTATGGTATCGGAGCGGTGCTCATCCAAAACCAGAGGCCTGTTGCTTTCTCCTCAACCAGCCTAACAGAGACGCAGTCAAGATACGCACAAATTGAGAAGGAACTGCTTGCGATTGTGTATGCGTGCGAGCATTTCAAGTTTTTCATCCAAGGCCAGCAAGTGACAATCGAGACTGATCACCATCCGTTGATCGCGATTGTAAAGAAGGAACTCGCTCTCCTATCACCCCGCCTGCAAAAGATGATGCTGAGGCTGCTCAGATTCGATTTCAAGCTGCAGTACATACCTGGCAAGTACATGTTTATCGCCGACGCCTTGTCGAGAAAACCTCTCGCGAAAACCACGAGCGCTCCAGAAATTGAGGACAGAGCCCTCAATGTGTACGCAATGACGACCCTCTCCGACAGGCGAAAGAATATCATGCAACAGCAAACGGAGCAAGACCCTCAGCTCCAAGAAGTCATTCGGTTCATCAGAAACGGATGGCCTGATCACAAGCACAAGTGTCAACCCGAGACCAAGCTATACTGGGATGTCAGAGACGAGTTGACGTGCGATGATGGCATTTTGTTCCGCCAAAATCGCATGGTCATCCCTCAGGCATCTCGTAAATCGGTACTCGAGGATCTCCACAAGGCGCATCAGGGGATCGAACGCTCGCTCCGCCTGGCCAGAACGAGTGTTTACTGGCCTGGACTCGCAGCAGACGTCAAGCAACTTGTTGAAGCTTGTACGTTCTGTCAATCACGAGCGAAAGCCAACAGCAAAGAGCCCTTGATGCCCATATCCGCACCACCACACCCATGGCACACCATATCCATCGATTTCATGCATCTCAGAGGAAAGACCTACATGGTGGGCGTCGATTATCTCACCCGCGATTTCATGCTTCGCCACATGACGACGACAACAGCAGACCGCGTGATTCAAGTGCTAGAAGAATGGTGGTTCCAGCACGGAATTCCGCACACAATAATTTCCGACAACGGACCTCCATACTCAGGAGCAGTATTCATGGAAGCGATGAGAAAGTGGGACATACGACATATCACTTCCTCTCCAGGACACGCACAATCTCACGGCCTAGTCGAGAGGACCATTCAAACGCTCAAAGCTGTAATTGAGAAGACGCAAAGCGATGGGAAGAGCATACAAATGGCCCTTATGAGCCTTAGGAACACCCCGGGCAACGACGGCGTTTCTCCTGCCGAACTATCATGTGGCAGGCGCCTGCGATCCACGCTACCGGCGGCTCTCGACACCAAACAACGTCCACGCGATTTGTGGACCCGAAGAAAAGCATTCATCAACTCCACAGCGTCACGAACAAAAAAATACTTCGACCAACACGCTCATCCACTTCCGCAGCTCAAATTGTCCCAAAGAGTATGGGTCCGAGTTGCACATCGAAAATGGAAGCCCGCAGTCATCACCGAAGTGATGAACGCCCCGAGATCGTATAAGATAAGAACCGAAGACGGCCTCGATCTCAGAAGAAACAGAAGAGATTTGCGTCTTGACAAAAGCACCAGCAGCGTCGACACAGGTACACCCGCCTCATTTCGTGGAAGGCACTTCATACCGTCGAATCCGATTCTCTCTGACTCGACCGGCTCCGACGGTTATGACAGTCAAGCATCACTCTCGGAAGCCGACTCCGACGCAACCATCCGAGGCAATGACGAATCGAATCCAGGAGACCCGAATGTGACAGAGGATGATTTCGAAGCGACTCCGACTTCCAGTGCTGACAACGAAAAAACACTCGAATCGAAAGACAACTCTAAAACGATACCCGAAACGGAGCCCGCATCGCGGAGCTCTTCAGTAGGGGATCAAGTTCCCAGGTCGTCGTATGGGAGAGTTCTCAAAGCTGTTCAAAGATATAATTGAGAAAAGATGTTATGTTTGTGCAAATAATCTATATCCATGTTCATAACCGATACATATATTCTCCAATAAATCCGCCTCGGTACAAGCCGACCTCTAAGGTCCGCATGTACCATCCGGCGCGGCGAACATCAGTTGCTGTTCGCGATACTTAGGATGCGCTCTACTCTTTACGACCCGATCGACGACTATCACCAATAGTCGATGGCAAGATCACAACACTTCGAAGCATTCCTTGTCGAACGCATCGTTTGTCGACGGAAAAATCAGACAGGGAGAGTTGTTCAGTCGGCACTCTCCAGGACAGTCGGTGTATGAGAAGTAACTCTCACTTGGAGCTAGTAGGCACAGAGCCTCTAGCAGCACCAGTCCTCGATGCATCCTTCCAATCGTCAAGTCCGGCCAATGTGCGAAGTTCCTGTAATCTTGGTCCTGATAAACATTTTGTTAATATATCCGCCTTTTGGAGTTTAGTTGGGACGTATCCAACTTTAATTTCCTTCTTTTCGTAATGATCTCTGATCATCAGCTCTTTCAGAGCGATGTGTTTAGATCTTCTGTGAAATTGAGTTGTCTTAATTAGCTGTATTGTTGACTGATTGTCAATCTTGATTGTATGTATTACACGTATCCCTAGTTCTCCAAGGACTTTCGTTGTCCACAGTGAGATTCTTAGAGCTACGCTTGCTGAATACAGTTCTGCTTCGCATGAGCTCTGTGCCACTACCGACTGTCTCTGTGATGACCAGCTTATTGCTCCATTTTGTCTTAGTATGAGGCTCGCTGCGATAGATTTTCTCGTTAGGATGTCAGATCCGTGATCTGAGTCCGAATATACTTCTGTTTCGTATTGATCACCACTTCTGAACGTTATTCCGAGGGACGGATGTCTCTTTAGGTATTTCAACACTCGTAATCCCTCTGTCCATCTTTTCGACGTGCATTTGTCCAGAAAACGGGACAGGTAATTTACCGTGAATGCTATGTCGAACCTTGTAATTGTGGCGAGATACAGCAGACCGCCTATTAGCTCTCTATATGGGAACTTTGTAGTGACCTCAGAATCATCCTCCTCGTAGATAGATTTATCGGATGGGGTTGTGACTGACTTGCAGTTACTCATGTCAAATCGTTCGAGTAATTCGAGAGCGTATTTTGTTTGGTGGATATGAATGTCTCCTTCTTTATTGGACTCTACCTGTATCCCGAGAAAATAAGACAGTGGCCGCGAGTTGATTTCGAATTTATCGGACAATCCGGAGATAAATTCATCCAGCAGTTGTTTTGTGCTGCTTACCACAAGCAGATCATCCACATAGACCAATACTATCAGTCTGGACCTACCCGGTTTAAAAATAAGCACGGTTCTGATTTTAACCGTTGCATGTCCAATGTACTCGGAGCCTTGGTGAGGGTCTGATTAAACTCATATGGACTTTGCCGGAGTCCGTAGATGGCCTTCTTCAAGAGGTCGTGCTTGAATTCTCCTGCCCTATAGCCCTCTGGAATTTTCATGTAGACATTCTCTTTGAGTCCGGCATTAAGGAAGGCGCACGTGATGTCTACCTGGTAGCATAATAGTCGCTCCCTTGCTGCAATGCTTAAGAGCAGCTTTAGGGACTCTGCCCTGGCGACTGGTGCGAACAGACTATCCGGACAGTAGTCCAGACCAGAAGCCTGTCCGAATCCGCGGACTACGAGACGTGCCCGGTGTCTGACGCTTCCGTCCTGTGGGTTTCGTTTGATCTTGAATACCCATTTCGAATCAATTGCCTTTCTCCCTGGGGGCAAGTTTGACGGAATCCAGACCTTTTGTCTTTCCATTGCTTCAAGTTCCTCAGCAATTGCTGCCATCCACTGCTTTCCGTCTTTTCGTC